CGTCACGTAGGCAAGTGTTTAAAAAACACCCTTGAGCCTCAACATTGAGAAATAGTGACGCTGGTTGAGAAATCCCGCTGGGGAAAAATGGGCAAGGGGTTTGGAGGGGTCAAACCCTCCTGCGCGAAGGTGTGAGTCAGTGGCTAGTTGTTGGGGCTCAGGAGGGAGCGTGTCCCCATCCTTGCTCCACGGCAGAGCTGTTCTCTTTTACTATTATTCCTTTGGCAGCCGGAGGCTGATCCTGCCTGAGACTGGATCCTGGGATCTTGGGGTCTGCCAGATTCTCTGCTTTCATTTCCCCAGTGCTGGTGAAGGCTCTTGGGCATTGCCGTGAGCCAAATGAGTGTTGCCTTTCTCCAATGGATAAATCAGTCACTACCCTGAAATCAGATGACTTGCCCCAGGGTACAGAAACAAGTCCGTGACAGTAGCGGGAAGAGAGATCTTCCTATTCATCCTCCCTAATTGATGCCTCTCTCCTGATTTTCTCTTTTGGGTGCCAAACAGCATGTGAATTTGGAAAACAAGATCCTCGGAGTTCATCGGTAATGATTTGCTCGGCAGAATTTAACGAGGATTAGCCATTTAGCATTCCCACTGTGTCAGCACTTCAGCTCCTGGCTGGGGGTGTGGTGAGAGGATGGGAACCTATTAATTTTTACCTCTCGGTTGCAAAATAAGTTATAAACAACATCCTTCTAATGAGTAACAGTGCCAGCTTATTCCCTGTCACGTGCACAGGCTGAACATGAGACAAACGCACCACTTTTTTGCGGGAGCAGGGAAGGAGCAGAGCTGTTGCTCTGGAGGTGTTTGGGCATGGAGGCTGAAGCGGGTAGCATGCCTGGGTATTAAGCTGATTTCATAGCTGTTCAGATGGGAGCAAATCTAAAGTGCAAAGGGTCCCCTTCCCTGGCAGAAGGTAGGGAACAAAGGGGCCCTGCTGCACTGGGGAAATTGGGCTGTCATGAGTCCTCCTCTAGCTGTGGGTCCAAGGAGGCCGAGTGAAGGGACTTGCTCACTGTGTGTTTTGGAATCACCCTGGGAACATTGGTGCTTGGTCTCGGTCAGAGTCCCACCACGGCTTGAGTCTCTTTAGAAGGAAAACATCTTTTGCAGAGCCATTCATTTCACATAGTTCATATCACCTCCCAGTGCAGTGGCTGCAGTGTCTCCTCCATGCTGTCTGTTACTCCATCCTGCCTCAAGACCAGGAGGCTTTCTGTGCAGAAGCAGGCTGCTTTTGCTCATGCTGCGAGCTGCACAGTCCGCGTGGGCTGCGATCTCAGCGGAGGAGGGCAGGGAAGCATGCGAATAGCTGAGCTCACGGACGTGTCTTGGTGTGATCCTAAAAAGAACAAAAGAGAGCGAGTATAAATGAAAATTATTGTTGGAAAATCTTAATTAGATTTTAAGCCCCAAAGGGAGAAAAGTGAGGTATTATCTGACACAGCTAATGAGTGTAAAGGGTCCATTGTTATATTTCTTGTTTACCTTTCTGTGCTGGCTGATACAGCCTGCATTCTCGCCTGTATTGCCATAATTAGGATATCTCATCTCTTGCTGATAGGGCCGGGGATGCTGCTTAAAGCACAATGCTGTTTCATCCCTCCCCGACAAGAGCAGGGTGATCGAGAAAACAACTTCTTCTGGCATCCCTACGCTCATGCTAGCCATGTTGACCCTGTGAGCTGGGGACACCTTTGAGAGATGCTAGCTGGTACCTGATAACATCCAGGTGATGGACATCTCTGACAGTCTGAGTGACCTCTCTCATAGGCCCCCATCCATTACAAGGTAATTAAATTACACTTAGTGGGTTAAGCACAGGGTCAGGGGTATTTCTTTGGACATTGTAGGGCAAAGCTGGCCTCTTTGGAAAGACTAGTACTGAGCAGCCGCACCAAGGGGAACTGTCTGCAGGCTCAGCCAGACCAATGACTTTGAGATGCTTTTGAAGGAACTGTCCTGTCCAGTAAAACATGACTCAAGAGTTTCAGCAAGCAGATCTTTCTTCCTCTCACCTCTCTCTCTCTAAGGAGTGGTCCAGTTTGGGCAGTGAATATTGTGCTGAGCTGCCAGGGCTGCTCTTGTTCCGCTTTCCTGGAGCGGGTGCACAAGTGTGTGTTGGCCATGTGCACCAACCCCCAGCCAAGAGACGACTATAAAGTGCCATGGAGCCATGAGGCCACTCCTGCTTCCCGAGGTCTGAATCCTTCCCAGGGTGAGGAGTGCGTGTCCTCCCTACAGCACACTTTTAACGAGGAAGGGCGTCCTCAGGTACCCCCATCCAATACCATACTCCTTAATGCTGGTCTCTGCTCCCTGCTTGCAGTTCAGGAAGACATTCAGGATCGGGACCTATGGATGGCACACTCTCCTTTTTGGGCAGAAGATACTCAGGGCACATGCTCTTTCTGTATTATCACAGTGCTTTATTACAAGCTGCCTAACACCTCAGTGCTATTAGCTTTTATCTGTTTGGGTCATTCCTTATGGGGACAACATCTTTCTGTTATGTTGCAGGAGGATGCACCTTCACCCTTACAGCCCTAAAAAGCAGGGCACCTTATTGAAAGCCACTGTCACCTCACCACTTCTCTGATCTCCTGATTTCTCAGTGCCAGATTGCACACGTAA